GACAGAACTCCGGTGGATTGGTGGATCCGTGGACCGGAAATGGAATCCGCCGACGAAAGCCTCGCTTGAGACATCCTCACAAAACCTTGCCCCCTGTGGCGGTGCCCAAGGACCCAGAGCGGCCCTCCGGCACCGATTCCGGACAAGAATCCGGTGGATCCGGTGGATCCGTGGATCCGCCGACGATCCCAAAGAACCAACCCCGATCCCAAACCGCGGCCCTCCCGCTTGAGACATCCTCACAAAACCGGGCCCCGGGTGGCGGTGCCCAGAGGAGCCCAGAGCGGCCTGCCGTCACGTTTCCGGACAGAACCGAGTGATTCCGTGGATCGGTGGATCCGCTGGATCCGGGGACGAATCCCAAACCGGCGCCCTCGCGTGAGACATCCACACAAAACCGGCCCCGGGGGAGGTGCCCAGAGGAGCCCAGAGCGGCCTCCGGCACCGTTTCCGGACAGATCCGCTGGATCCGGTGGATCCGGTGGATCCGCCGACGAATCCCAAACCGGCGCCCTCGCTGAGACATCCTCACAAAACCGGCCCCGGGGGAGGTGCCCAGAGGAGCCCAGAGCGGCCTCCGGCACCGTTTCCGGACAGACCCGCTGGATCCAATGGATCCGCCGACGAATCCCAAACCGGCGCCCTCGCTTGAGACATCTTCCCCCAAAACCCATTATCCTGCGGTGCCCAGAGGAGCCCAGAGCGGCCTCCGGCACCGTTTCCTCCGGACAGATCCGTGGATCCGGACAGATCCGGTGGATCCGCCGACGAATCCCAAACCGGCGCCTTCGCTTGAGACATCCTCACAAAACCGGCTCCGGGGGCGGTGCCCAGAGGAGCCCAGAGCGGCCTCCGGCACCGTTTCCGGACAGATCCGCTGGATCCGCCGACGAATCCCAAACCGGCGCCCTCGCTTGAGACATCCTCACAAAACCGGCCCCGGGGGAGGTGCCCAGAGGAGCCCAGAGCGGCCTCCGCACCGTTTCCGGACAGATCCGGACAGATCCGGTGGATCCGTTGGATCCGCTGGATCCGGTGACGGATCCCAAACCGGCGCCCTCGCTTGAGACATCCTCACAAAACCGGCCCCGGGGGAGGTGCCCAGAGGAGCCCAGAGCGGCCTCCAGCACCGTTTCCGGACGGATCCGCTGGATCCGCTGGATCCGGTGACGAATCCCAAACCGGCGCCCTCGCTTGAGACATCCTCACAAAACCGGCCCCGGGGGCGGTGCCCAGAGGAGCCCAGAGCGGCCTCCGGCACCGTTTCCGGACAGATCCGCTGGATCCGGGGACGAATCCCAAACCGGCGCCCTCGCTTGAGACATCCTCACAAAACCGGCCCCGGGGGCGGTGCCCAGAGGAGCCCAGAGCGGCCTCCGGCACCGTTTCCGGACAGATCCGGTGGATCCGCCGACGAATCCCAAACCGGCGCCTTCGCTTGAGACATCCTCACAAAACCGGCTCCGGGGGCGGTGCCCAGAGGAGCCCAGAGCGGCCTCCGGCACCGTTTCCGGACAGATCCGCTGGATCCGCCGACGAATCCCAAACCGGCGCCCTCGCTTGAGACATCCTCACAAAACCGGCCCCGGGGGAGGTGCCCAGAGGAGCCCAGAGCGGCCTCCGGCACCGTTTCCGGACAGATCCGGTGGATCCGCTGGATCCGCTGGATCCGCGGTGACGAATCCCAACCGGCGCCCTCGCTTGAGACATCCTCACAAAACCGGCCCCGGGGGAGGTGCCCAGAGGAGCCCAGAGCGGCCTCCGGCACCGTTTCCGGACAGATCCGGACAGATCCGGTGGATCCGCGCCCCGGGGGAGGTGCCCAGAGGAGGAATGAGGAGGAAGAGGAGGAGGAGGAGGAGGAGGAGGAGGAGGAGGAGGAGGAGGAGGAGGAGTAGATGAGGAGGAGGAAGGAGGGAGGAGGAGTGAGAGGAGGAAGGGGAGAAGATGATGAGATGTGGGTGGAGGAGGACAGAAGGAGGCAAAGAAGGATGAGGAGGAAGGAGGAGGAGGAGGAAGGAGGGCAAGAGGAGGAGGAGGAGGAGGAACCTCATCCTCACCCTCGCCAACAAGTTCACGCACCTTCTTCTATATACAGAAACTCCCGATCAACCGCAGAGCGGCCGGCTAGTAATTCGGCACGCCAGGCACCCCTGCGATGAATCGACAGGGGGCGGCGGATCGAAGACGCCTACGGCGAATCACCGCCGCCCCTGCCTTTTTGGAAGCGCCTATGTGGCCGAACGTTGAGGCCAGACCTGCCAAGCTATCGGACCATGTGTTCCCCGAATCGGTTTGGAAAGCCTTCGGGGAACACGTGGGCATCTTGAAGGTCATCTTGGCCGTCGGGAGGCCATTTTGACCCTTTCGGGCCTTCTTGGAGGACGTCTTGGAGGGCTCTTGGACCGTCTTGGAGGCCATCTTGAGCGTCTTGGAGACCTCTTTGGCCGTCTTGGGGGCCTCTTGGGGCCGTGTCTTGGGCCTCTTGGGCGATCTTTGGGGGCACTTGGGCCGTCTCGGGCCGTCGGAAGGCAGAAAAGACAAAATGCCACACTCCTTCAAAAACCAATGGGACATCAATGATTTTGGCCTTCTCTGGCCTTCTGGAGGCCCTCTTGGAGGCCTCTTGGAGGCCTCTTGGGCCGTCTTGGGCCATCTTAGGGCCATACTCGGCCGTCTTGGTGGGCTCCTGGTCCGTCTGACGCCGTCGGAAGCTGTTTGGGGGGCCTCTATGGGCCGACTTGGGGCCCTCTTGGAATGCTCCAGGGCTGTCTTGGAGGCCCATCTTGGGCGTCTTAAAGGCCTCCTGTGCCCTCTTTGGGGCCTCTTGGGGCCGTCTTAGGGGCCTCTTGGGCCGTTCTGGGGCTATCTTGGAGGCCTCTTGGGCGATCTTTCGGTGATCTTCGGGGGCTCTTGGGCCGTCTCGGGCCGTCGGAAGGCCGAACAGAAACGAATGTCAAAATTCGTCAAATACCTTAGGAACATCAATGTTTTGGGCCTCTTCTGGCCTTCCTGGAGGCCCTCTTGGGCCAATGGGGGCCTCTTGGGCCGTCTTGGGCCAGCTTCGAGCCAACTTCGGCCATCTTCGTGGGTTCCTGGAACGTCTGACGCCGTCGGGAGCTGTCTTGGGTGCCTTTCTGGGCCGACTTGGGGCCCTCTTGGGGCGCTTCGGGGCCGTCTTGGAGGCCATCTTGGGCGTCTTGGAGGCCATCTTGGGCGTGTTGGAGGCCTATTGGGCCGTCTTGGGCCAGCTTCGAGCCAACTTCGGCCATCTTCGTGGGTTCCTGGCACGTCTGACGCAGTCGGGAGCAGCCTTGGGGGCCTTTCTGGGCCGACTTGGGGCCCTCTTGGGGCGCTTCGGGGCCGTCTTGGAGGCCATCTTGGGCCGTCTTTGTGCCCTCTTGGGGCCGTCTTGGAGGCCACTGGGCCGTCATGGGGCACTTTTGGGGGCCTCTTGGGCGATCTTGGGGGCCTCTTGGGCCGTCTTGGGCTGTCGGAAAGCCGAAAAGGCGCAAATGCCACAATCTTTCAAAAACCGCTGGAAAATCAATGATTTCGGCCCTTTCGGGCCTTCCTGGAGGACGTCTTGCAGGACCCTTGGGCCGTCTTGGAGGCCTCTTGCGGGCCTGTTGGGCCGTCGTAGACCATCTTGAGGCCACCTTGGGCCGTCTTGGAGGCATCTTGGGGCCATCTTAGCCGTCTTGGAGGCCATCTTGGGCTGTCTTGGAGACGTCTTGGAGACCATCATGGGCCATCTTGGCCGTCTTGGACGCCATCATGGGCCAACTGGAGGAAACAGAGGCAAGACGGACGCGTTTTGAGATCCATCCCGGGACCCAGCGGGACGGGCCGAAGCCCCAGGGGAGTTCTTTTTGAAAAAACACCAAAACCCAAAGCGGGAGGGTTTAACATGTCAGGCACCCCTTTGATAAATCAAAAGGGGGCGGCGGATCGAAGACGCCGGCGGCGAATCACCGCCGCCCGCTGCCTTTTTGGAAGCGCCTATGTGGCCGAACGTTGAGGCCAGACCTGCCAAGCTATCGGACCATGTGTTCCCCGAATCGGTTTGGAAAGCCTTCGGGGAACACGTGGGCATCTTGAAGGTCATCTTGGCCGTCTGGAGGCCATTTGGACCCTTTCGGGCCTTCTTGGAGGGCGTCTTGGAGGGCTCGTGGACCGTCTTGGAGGCCATCCTAGAAGTGCTGTGCACGTTATTGTTGCCACGGCCGCGGGCACTCCTGCTCAAGTGTTGAGGATGAGCAGCACGACTGCTCTTGCTGTCGGCGGGGCTTCCATCCTCCCCACGATACGCCTCCTCGCTTATTTCGTCGCCCGGAGCATCCCTCCGCCGATCTGCCCTGGCCCGCCCGAGTGGCCTGCCCGTGGCCTCGCGCGGCTGGACGACCGCTTCTCTCAGGCGGAGGAGGCAGTGCGGAACCTCAGCTCAGCAGTGGAGGCACTGACGGGCCCACAGGAGCGGCCTGAGCTGAACGTGACGCGGCTGCTGTCGGACGGGTCCCCGCTGCAAACGTCTTGGGGCTGGTCGGGAGCGCTGGCGGGCCTGCTAGGATTCGCCAAGGGCATAGCCGCCTGCGCGCTGTGCCGCCGTCACCATGGCGCTCGTGGAGAGAGAGGATATCCCCCACCGCGGGAGATGGCCGGTGCTGCGGCTGGCGGACGGCACCGCCGTGGGGGCGCAGGGGTTCTGCATTAACATGATCCCGGGCGATTGCATCGGGGTCTGGTATGATGACGACTTGGTTTGGCATCATCGTGCGCTCTTGTATCCCGTCGGGCCGAAGGTGTGGTACACGCTCTCGCCCGATGGTGACTACACCCCTGAGAATGTGGCCTGCGAGGATCCTGAGGGCTGTTCCCGCGCGTTCAGGATCGCACGAAATGGAGATCGCCCTTCGGTGAAGCGCGGAGGTTTCTATCAACCCCGAGAGCCGATCGATGGAAGGAGCCTGAGGAGCTTCATCAGGCTGGCGCGCGCGGAGATGGCGGAGTCGGGTGAGCCTCTGATGGGCCCGAGCCACTACCTCGAAGACGGCCCACTCCTCCCGTTCGGTGGGGCCATCCGTCGCATCGCTCCGCTGCGCCAGGCGGCCCCCGCCGCCGCTGCCGCAGGAGCGCCAGAGGAGCTGGCCCCGGACGCGCTGCAGCCGCTGCCGCCGCCGGACGAGGCCGACTGCCCTACGCCGCGACTCGAGCTCGACCCGCCGAAGGGACACGAGTGGGTGCTCAAGGAGGCGCCAGGGCTGGGTCGAGTGATGCAGCGCACGAGACATGACATACGCCTCGATGAGCGGAACGCCGTGGTGCGGCTTGAGGGCGGCTGGCAGCGCGTGTTGGCGGTGGTGCCCGACGAGAAGGCCGAGCTCGTGAGGAGCGTGCGAGAGGCCTACCGTGGGCGTAAGTTCGAGGAGTGGATGGAGGATCGAAAGGGCGTCGAGGTGGCAGACTCCGCTGGGCTGGCTGAGATCGGCGAGCGCGCAGGTGCCTTGGCGGAGCACCGCGAGCGCGCAGGCGTGCAGGAGGAGGCCGAGGAGGTCAGGGCCCTCTGGGTCGTGATGGACGAAGCTGGGGAGCGCCATAAGCCCTGGCGCTCTGTCGCGCGCGAGCTGAGCTTCCACCTCTTCCCAGACTGGCCTTTCGAGGGCCAGCGCTCGCAGACGCTGCGCATGGCTAAGAGGTTCGAGAGGACTGGCGGGGGCCCGCTCTGGTGGCTGGCGCTGTGGCTTCGGGAGAAGGGCATCGGTCAGAATGAGCGCGCGGCGATCGAGATGGCCACCCCCCTGGCGGCGGTTCAGCATGCAGGATCGTATGATCAGTTGAACATCGCGTCCCTGGCTTCCGTGGAGGTGATGTGCCGACGAGTGGCCCAGATCACAGAGGCCTGCCGCGACGACCCCTCGAGGCCCAAGTGGCAGGGCCTGGAGCCATGCATGGGCATCGCTGGGCCGTTGGAGGTCGTCGATCCAGGTCTGAGGGGCGCGGTTGCCCGCAAGAACAAGGAGAAGGCCGAGATTGAGAATGTGGCGAGCAGGCTCAGCGGGCAGCCCGCCTGGAGCCAGCTCGTGGCGGACGCGGCGGAGGGGCTGCCTGGCGGCCCATCGGGCCCGAAGGGCCCAAAGGGTCCGAAGGGCCCCGAGGCTGGCGGCGGCAGGGGCGGCCTAGACGGCGGCAAGGCAGCAGCCGGTCAGCAGCCCCCGCCGCCAGTGAAGCCATGGCCTCAACGCCCCCCGTCGGAGTGGGCGGCCTTCGTCGTTTTTTTTTGTTGCAGCCCCGAGGGAAAGAAGGGAGTTGCCCTCGATAACTCTCCTGGAGCGCGTTGCCAGCGGAAGATTGTAAGGGGGGCTAACGGTGCCATTCGAGCTCTTAATTGGTTGCATGTCCGTGGCGAGGCGGCCAGCCCGCCCCCCCCCCCCGCAGCTGATCGCAGGGGTGCATGCGTGCAGTGTCAGAGCGGCTCAGGCCACTCCGGGCAAGGGCGCGATCCCCCTGCCGCGAGAGGCCTTCCAGTCTCTCCTCAACGGCCGCTCAGGCGACGAAGCTGACGCGTGCGGAAGAAGCATCGGACACCTCCAGCATGTGCGGCAGATCTCTTTGCCCGAGTCAGTCGTGGGCGCGCCTCGCCTGCTCGAGATTTTGCCCAGTGATGTACGCCGCTATCTGGAGAGTGGATTGAAGCGCATGCTGCTGTCTGACTCCGAGCGCGAGGCTCGGATAGCGGATTCGGGGACTACTCCCCACTGGGACCCCGCCTTTCTTCCAGGCCGCACAATTTACCTGCTGCTGATGCGGGATTTGCGGCACCGTGGCGTTCTTGCGTTCCTGGGCCCAGATGAGGTCAATGAGGGGGTGGGGGTATACTTCGCCAAAAAGAAAGGGACAGGGAAGTTGAGACTCATCGTAGGTGCTAGAAGATTCAACCTTCATTTTGCTCGCCGCCCGGAGTGAATGTAGTGACTGCCGAGGGCCTCTCGAAGTTGGAAGTGGATAAGGAGACATGCGAACAACTTAGGAAAGAGGATGGTTTCCGTTTCTGCCTCGGCACCTCGGATGCGAAGGATGCTTTTCGCAGACTCAAGATTGATCGCGGGCTCTCCGCCTTCTTTTGCTTGCAGCCCGTGCGCGCGAAAGAGTTGGGGCTCGCGGGCAAGAACATTAATGGCGTGGTCGTGGGAACCGAGTCCTGGGCGCTTCCTGCGTTTAAGAGCCCCCCGATGGGCTTCGCCTGGTCGCTCTATTTCTGCAAGCGCACGGACGAAAACCATGTCGGAGGTTCCCCCAGTTTGCGGATCGTGGAGGCCCTGGGCGAGAAGACCTCGTGCTGTCTTCTTGGCCCTACAGGGGCCCCTTCTCTTTCAGCCTACTGCGTCTACGTGGACAATACTGGGGTCTTGGGATGGGAAGAACAATATGCGCGGCGTGGGCTCCAGCATGCCTCCCAGCTCCTCACCAGTAAGGGCCTCGAAACTCATGGCGACGAGATCCCAGTTGGGAAGGGGGGGGGGGGGGGGCGAGACCTTGGTGCATCTTGGACGGGGGCAGCCTGTGTGCACGCGTGACCCCGAAGAGGTATTGGAAGGTTCGGCAAGCACTCCGATGGGGACTCCGATGTCGTGCTCTTGCTGGGCGTGCTTGGGAGATCCTGCTAGGGCACTGTGCGTTTGTGGGGCTCTGCAGCAGGGATACCTGGTGCGTGTTCAGCTCTTTGCAAATTTATGCAGGCTCGGTGCCTCGTGGCGACTCCTCTCTGGGAGTCCTGTCGTCGAGAGGTCGAATCCTTCCTCGGTCTCATGCTTCTCCTGCTTGGAGAGTGGAGCCGAGACTTGCGTCCCGTTGTCGCAGTGGCAGATGCTTCTGAATACGGATAGGCCGTCAGCGTGAGCGGTTTCGGACAAGAGCAGGCGCGGACAATTGGCCGAATACAGGAGAGATCGCGCTTCAGAAAAATGCCAGGCATGTCGGCAAGATACCGTTTCATCTCTGAGAATAACATCGTGATGGGCGAAGAGGGTCACTGGCGCCCTCGTTAGGAGATTGATGGCGATTTGGGCCCTGGCGAACACCGGGCGTGGGGGCTTGGCCCCGACTTTGTCGAGATGGGCGCTCGTTTGTTCAGAGAGTCGAAGTGGCAGGAGGTCGTCGTCAGGCCTTGGCTTAGATCCTCGGAGGGAATTCTTGTTCTTGAGAGCCGTGCCCTCCTTCGTGCCCTAGAAGTCCTCGCGAGTACCTCTTCCTCTTCTGGTCGGCGTGTCTTGGTGCTCTCCGACAACATGTCTGTTGCGTTGTGTTTCGGCAGACGTAGGTCACGAAACTGCAGAGTGCTTGTCTGTTTTCGCCGCGCGATGGCCTGTGCTTGGCCTTAGATATAAAGGTGTATGTTCGCTGGCTTCCGAGTGAGGCCAACCCAACTGACGAGGGCTCCAGGTTTTTCGTCCCAACTACGATGCTAGCAACACTTTTACCACTCTGCTTGACGACGACAAGGGCGGGAGGTTAGACAACTACAAGGACTGCAAGGACGATGCGATAGGGGGCGACGACGACGGGAACTTCAGGGAGGTGTCAGGCGATGCGAATGACCCGCTGGGCGTCTATGGGGCCTCGGAGGTTGTCAACCAGCCGCTGCTGACAGATGCGATGCCAGACTAGGATGTGCTTGAGGAGAATTTCGAAGACTCGTACTTTGCCAGCTTCCAATCTCACCTTCCGCATCCGTCGCCCGCGGCTCCAATCGGCCATGCTGCGCCGTTCTCCCGGGGGGAAGAACCAGCCGCAGCGCGCCCTGACCGCCGGCCTCGCTCGAGCAGCCTCCAGCCATGGCAAATCGGAAGAGCCCAGACGGTCCAGCCGCATCCTTGCGGCTCCTGGAGGGCTGCCGAACTTCGGCGCGAAGTTGAAGGCCAGCGGCCCCGCGGCAGATCCATGGCCGAGCAAGAGGTGGCGCTTTGGACCTCCCGCAGGTGCCCACGAACGCCTTGGTGCCACAGCGAGTCAGCCGATGGGCCAGCTGATGCGCCTGGAGGATCCGTTCCCCGACCAGCCTGCCGACTACCACCTCCCGAACTCCGACGAGGAGAGCGAGAGCTCGACGGAGCCTGTTGGCCTTTCTGCGGAGCGGAAACTCAAGGTTCTCATCAGGCGACGCCGTCGAATGATTGCCAAGTCAGCTGTCTCGAGGCGCCCGGGCGAGGTCACTTTCCTGGAACATGCCAACGCCAGGGAGGCGACAGACAGGAACTACAGGAACGCCATCCGCGACTTCTGGGAGAGAGCCCCCGACGCCGCAAGGCAGCGAGGCGGGGGTGTCGCGGTAGACGGCGAGGTGAACAGGTATCTCAGCGAGGAGTTCGCCGCGGGCAAGGGAGTCCGGCGCGGCGAGACCCTCATGGCTGCGCCCGTCCACTTCTTCCCAGCCTTCGGGAAGCACGGCAACCGCAAGCTCCCTCGCTCCTGGCGCGCCCTCCGGGGCTGGAGGCGCCTCAGTGGCTTCAAGACTCGGGGCCCCGTGGTGAGTATCATATGGAGCGCGGTCGCATCCGACTTGTGTTATCGCGGCAACTGGCAGATGGCGCTCCAGATCGTTTGGATGGTGGTCGACTATCACAGACCATCAGAGCCGCTGACTGTTCGCAGGGAGGACCTCGTCCGCCCGACTCGAGGAGGCAGTCGCAGGTGGGGAGTGGTACTATTTCCAGGGACGCGAGATCAGGTGAGAAAGACTGGCCACAGAAACGAGGCCATCACCCTGGAGAACAGCATCTACCCGTGGCTTCCGCGAGCATTGGAGGAGGCCTCAAAGGGCGATCCACATTCTTTCCTGTTCAACCACGACTACAACCACTTGCTTCAACAGTTTCGCATCGCGACACATCGGGTGCAGCTGCCGCGACATGTTCTCTATCAAGCGCGCCGCAGTGGTGCGGGTCTTGACAGACAGGGGAGGTTTCGAGACACCCTAGAAGTGAAGAGGTGAGGCGGGTGGGCGTCGGACCCGAGCCTTCGGAGGTACGAGAACGCCCCGCTTCTCAACGCATCGGCAAGCGACCTGCTTTTTGGCCGCCGCCCGCCTCTCAGCATGCTCGTCCCGAGGGGTTGAAGGCTGCGCATTTTTTTGCTGATATCTTCAGTGGTTGTGGGATCGTATGTCGCACTGCCCAACGCTTCAATCTCGTCGTGAGATACAATGACACGGTGATCGACCCTTTCTTAGATATGACCCGCGAGGACACCTAGGTAAGTTTCTGGAAAGACATCAGGAGACAATGTAGTGGCTTGTTGCATCGCGGCGCCCTGTGCCAGTTTCAGTGTTGCCAGAGACCGTACCAGAGTCATTTGGAGTGTCTCGGAGCCATGGGGCGCCACCCAACAAGGTGACTTCTCGGATAGTGACCGTGCCAGTCTTCGACAAGGGAATAAAGTTATGAGAGCAACCCTGAGAATGATTGAGGCCCTCAACAGCGCTAAATAAAGCCCCTTGGGTTCTCGAGAATCCCTACACGAGCCTCATGTGGAAGCTGCCCGAAGTCCCTGAGATTGCCTCCCAGTGCCATTCAGTTGTGGTCGACTTCTGTGCCTTCTGAAATCCCTTTCGAAAAAGAACGCGCCTGCTGTTTGGAAACGTGAAGCAGGAGCATTTGTCTGTGTTCAACTAGAGTTTGTGGAGGTAGGGACATTGTGAATTCTCAGGGCGTCCGCGCATCGAGTTGACAGGTCAGCGCCCTACTGCTAAAATATGCTGGGTGCTGTTCGCCCAACCCTGCCCCCCAAGCTCGCTTCTCACATCTGTCAGTGTTTGCTGCGCTCAGCCAACATCCGAATTCGGGAATGAGTCGGGTATTCGTTTTGTGTCAGGAGGCGCCTCTCCTGTTCAAGAGGTGCCGCCCTGCAGCTCGCGCTGGCACCTCTGCCCTCGCTTCCGGCCGAGCATCTCGAGGCGCATTTGCTGTGCTGAGCTAGAAAGCGGGAGCGGCCGCTGTGGCCGCATAGAAGTGTTGTGCACGTTATTGTTGCCGCGACCGCGGGCGCTCCTGCTCGAGTGCCCCGCCCTCCCAGACCCGCGGGGTATTCGTTTTGTGTCAGGAGGCGTCTCTTCTGTTTAAGAGGTGCCGCCCTGCAGCTCGCGCTGGCACCTCTGCCCTCGCTTCCGGCCGATCATCTCGAGACGCATGTGCTGTGCTGAGCTAAAAAGCGGGGGCGGCCGTTGTGGCCACATGGGCGTCTTGGAGACCTCTTGGGCCGTCTTAGGGGCATTTTTGGGCCGTGTCTTGGGCCTCTTGGGCGATCTTTGGGGGCACTTGGGCCGTCTCAGGCCGTCGGAATGCAGAAAAAAACAAATGCCGCAATCCTTCAAAAAAACCTATTGGAAATGAATGTTGTTTTTTTTGTTTTTCTTATTTTTTCTGGCCTTCCTGGAGGCTCTCTTGGAGGCCTCTTGGGCCGTCTTGGGCCATCTTAGGGCCATGTTCGGCCGTCTTGGTGGGCTCCTGGTCCGTCAAACGCCGTCGGAAGCCGTTTGGGGGGGCCTCTATGGGCCGACTTGGGGCCCTCTTGGAATGTTTCAGGGCCGTCTTGGAGGCCATCTTGGGCGTCTGAAAGGCCTCCTGTGCCGTCTTGGGGGCCTCTTGGTTCCGTCTTGGGGCCCTCTTGGGCCGTTCTGGGGCCATCTTGGAGGCCTCTAGGGCGATCTTTCGGTGATCTTTGGGGCCTCTGGGGCCGTCTCGGGCCGTCGGCAGGCCGAAAAGAAGGAAATGCCGAAATCCGTCAAGAACTTTTGGAACCTCAAGGTTTTTGGCTTCTTGTGGCCTTCCTGGAGGCCCTCTTGGAGGCCTCGTGGGCCGTTTTGGGCCAGCTTCCAGCCAACTTCGGCCATCTTGGTGGGTCCTGGCACGTCTGACGCCGTTGGGAGCCGTCTTGGGGGCCTTTCTGGGCCGGCTCAGGGCCCTCTGGGGGCGCTTCGGGGCCGTATTGGAGGCCATCTTGGGCGTCTTGGAGGCCATCTTGGGCGCGTTGGAGGCCTCTTGGGCCGTCTTGGGGCCCTCTTGGGGCCGTCTTGGAGGCCACTTGGGCCGTCATGGGGCCCTCTTGGGGGCCTCTTGGGCGATCTTGGGAGCCTCTTGGGCCGTCTTGAGCCGTCGGAGTGCCGAGACAATGCAAATTCCAAAATTCTTCAAAAGCCTCAGGCCAATCAAGGATTTTGGTCTCTTCGGGCCCTCCTGGAGGACCTTGGAGGCCCCTTGGGCCGTCTTGAGGCCTCTGGGGGGCCTCTTGGGCCGTCTTGGGCCGTCTTGGACTCTCTTGGGCAGTCTTGGAGGCCGTCTTGGACCATCTTGGGCGGACTTGGAGGCCATCTTGGACCATCTTCGCGATTTGTTGAGGATGTCCCGAGCGAGACGGCCGTTGTTTTGCGATGACGGAGGCATGACGGATGCGTTTTGAAATCCTTCCCGGGACCCCGGCGGGACGGGCCGAAGCCCCAGGGGGAGTTCTTTTGAAACAAAAAAACCAAAACCAAAACCGAAAGGGTTCAGCACGCCAGGCACCCCTGTGATAAATCAACAGGGGGCGGCGGACTTTAGTGGCCTTTGGCCCATCCCGCCACCGTGCCTGGGTTGTGGGTCTGAGGCCTCTTGTAGATGTGTTGGGGTGTCGTGGGGAGCCTCTTGGGCCTCTTGGGGGTCTCTTGGGGCCTCGTGGGGTATTTTTTTGGGCCTCTTGGAGGCGTTTTGGGCGCGTCTTGGGCGCCTCTTGGGGCCTCTTGGCGGCCTCTTGGGGCATCCTGGAGGCTCTTCGGGGCACAACTATGAAATGTTAGGTTCGTGGTCCCCGGCTCGGGCACCTCTTGGGGCCGTCTTGGGGCCCTCTTGGGCCGTCTTGAGCGCTTCTTTGGCAATTATGGAGCCCTCTTGGGCCGTCTTGGGGCCCTGTCTTGGAGCGGTCCTTGGAGCTTCTTAAGCTGTCTTGGAGCGTTGGGAAGCCGAAAATGCGAGAAGGCCCAAATCCTTCAGACAATTTCTTAAAGTCGACGATTTTGGCCTCTTGGGGCCCTCTCGGGAGGCCTCTTGGAGCGCTCTTGGGGCCTCTTGGACTCTTGGAGCCCATTTGGGCTGTCTTGGAACCATCATCGGGCGCCGTCGAGCTCTCTTGGCCTCGGCAATGCGATTTTGACGGAACTTGCGAAGGTTTATGGCCTCGGGGACGCGCATATGGAGTAATTTACACGGGCGTGTTGCCTTTGGTACGCAACAATTGAGTAATTTGCGAGGGCTCATGGCCTCGGGGACGCGAGCACGGTGTAATTTACGAGGGGTTCTGGCCTCGGGGGCGCGAATCTTACATATTTTTAGATGTCCCACGCCCCCACCCGGAATTCAGGCAACGCGATTCGGGCGTGGAACATTGCTGGTTTGGGGTTCCCCCCCCTCGCGCGGACTTAAACAATTTAGGAAGCAGAAACCAGGACTGTAACATTGGAGACTCGAAACTACAACTGGTGCAGGGAGCAGCAGCTTCGCCCTACAGCCTGGCGGCCCCACAAGAGGGCCAGCGGACTTTCCTCTACGCTTCCTCCCTCTCTCCCTTCTTCCTTTTTTCCTTCCCCTTCCAAGTAATTAGAAGGGCCGCGCCAACAACACGTGGCAGGCACGGAAGAC